GGGGGGGGGCATTTTTATGCAAAAACCCATATGCTAATGTTCATAGCATATGAACATATTCATAGCATATTATTGATTCGCAATAATCAAAAAACATAGATACAACCCAAATGACAAGTGTGTGTTTATGTCCATATAGTGGAATATTAAAAGCAAATCCACAGCCGTTGAATACATTCCAACTCAGATTGACCCTATGGGACAGAGTCGAATTGCTGCATAAGGCTTCTGAAACTAATTCTTTACGGGGAAACCTGATGTTTCTCCACAGAGTAGCTGGTGGGTTTGAACCACTGACCTTGCAGTTAACAGCCTAATACATAACCCACTGTGCCACAGGGGTTATTTAATAAGGTATTAACATGGTAATAAGAAAGGACTGCTATATAGTACAGCATGGCTGAACCTTGAAAATATTGAGTCAACCCCATCAACACAGTCCACATAACGTCTTCTAAAATTACAGCAATTACTACAAAACTCTCTAGATAACCATAAACATCATTGAAAGCATACTTTAATTGGGTAAATTTTGTAGTATGTGAATTATATCTCCAAAAAGCTGTTACCCAAAAAAGAGAAAGGCTTATCAACCATATGTAATATGTGGAGCTTGTTATAACTAACTGCAAAAAGTCGATTTGTGGTTCTTGGAGAAATGCAAACACTAAAACAGCAACAAAAACATAATACCCACTGCCAGCGAATCCATTCCACAGGACTCATTAGCATAGGCAAAGGGTCTCCAAGGCTGTGGATCTTTGCAGAAGCAAGTACTACATACTTCTCCTGCTGACAGTTACACCACTAACCTTTTGGTTAGCATTTGAGTGCTCTAACCCTTGTGCCATCAGAGTTGCTTAATTTAAGCACAGGCTGATAAGTTATTGTAATTTTGTTATGTATGAATCCTATTCTGCTTATTTTTCAACATTTTTATTGGCACGCAATTTACATAGCATACAATTGAATCAATATCAAGTTCAATCACATCAAGGAGAAATGTACAACCAGCGCCACATCTGTCTCAGCGCTTTCCCCGCCCATGGTTCAATCGCCTTTAAACTGAGTTGTGCAGTCACATTCACCATAAAGTTGATGCTGCTCTTCTAGTCAGTTTAAGCAGGGTTCTTGATTTTTGTGATTGGGGCTTTTTTCAAACTGATGTCATATATACATGCATATATAAAATGTATTATTAATTGAGAGTTAATACACAGATCATTCCATAGTTCAATCACGTCAAGCAGTATTGTACAATTGCTACCACAATCAGTTTCCAAATTGTTGTTTTTTTAAGAATCTAACGTAAAGGTATGTTATGCTGAATACTTCTGGAGAAAATGAAAAGGTGTGAGGGATTTGATTTAAAATATGACATCAGTAGGATGGAGCAGAGGAGAAAATAAGATTAATAATACATGAAACAGTGACTGCTTAAAATAGTAAACTTGCGAGACATTTTTAAGATAGATAAACCTTTCCACCCCTCTTTTAAAATCCTCATTCACTAGTTCTCAATTCTACTACCTAATACCTCCTAACTGCTGTTTTACCTACTTTTACTACTTTAACGCAGGCCATTATTGTCCTTCTCCCAACCATTGCATGTTCGCTCACTGCCACCAGGTTTATTCTGACTCATCGCGACTGGATCGGCAGGGTAGAACTGTCCCTCTGGGGTTCTGAGAGTAACTCCTGCTGGGAGAAAAAAGCCTCATCTTCCTCCCTAGGAGCAGCTGGTGGTTTCAACTGCTGACCTTGTGGTTAGCTGCCCACTCGTAACTTTCTGTACCACCGGCCTGCCTTCTGCCACCCATCCGAATCATTTTTTTCTGTTGCTGCCAAAGTCATGTTCTTGAATACAAGTCTGATTATGTCACTCCCTTGTTGACACCCTTAGGGGGTTTTGCTGGAAAAATAAACCCCAATGCCTGGCTGAAGTTTACTCAAGTGGGCCCTACTTAACCTATCTCTTCTGTCCCACTATATACACTGCAACGAAAACAAATGTTATTCGTAGAAAACCCTAAGATTTCTCTCATATGGGGGCCGTGTGTAAGCATTTCTGTTTGATACATTCATCGCCACCTCACCTCCTTCCTCTTGGTTTATTATCATCTTTTAGGTCTAAAAAGTTTAAACAGCCCTTTCTCAGGCAAATGGTTTCTGACTGCCGTTTGCTACCCCACCCCCTACCCACAGTACCTGCTCCTGCACTGTGATTCTATAGCTGTCCTGTTGTGGAAACTCTTGGAAGGTACAGTGTGTATCTTGGTAGGCAGTGGGGAAAAAATCATGATTGGATCTTTCCTGTCATGGTTGTTCCACTTAAACATCTGAACAATGAATACAATATTCTTTGTAGTTCAAGAAAAGCCAGCATCAGTAAATACTATTGTAAATAATCATGCAATAGCAGTAATAACAAACAACTTACAAGTAGATACCTAGGCAGATATGAAAGTGGAACAATTGTACGATTGTGAATGGGAGTACATCCAGCAGGGTATACAGGCTCGGCACAGGATCCATCAACATGTCTGTGTGTATGTGCTGCATATCTACCCAGGCACACAGTGTAGCATACAGAGGGCAAAGCTTTGCAAATATTTTTGCCATAGCCAAACGCCTTGAGAAACGGAGTCACTGGGCTGGAGGGAACATCTAGGTCTAATGGCATAATGTGGTCTATATGATTATGTTGTACATCGTACTTTGATGAGTAGTAAATAACTGGGGTCCTAAAGTTTGTGTGTGGCCATCTAAGATACAAGTATTGATCTCTGACATAAAGTCCAGAGCAAAGAAGTGTGAAGAAAATTGAAGACTGCAAACAATTTCTCCAAAGGACTGATGGATGCATGCAATCCACAGCCTTCACTAGCCTGAGACAAGAAGACTATATAGTGCCCAGTTACAACTACCAACCATTCTGATTGGGACTACTGGACAGAGAAGAAAAGTGTAGATCAAAGTCGCAGAAAAGAGCCTAGTCTGATAGACTGGTGCGACCACTGAGACGCTGGCCTTTGAGCACCCTTCCTACCTGGAATTTAAACAGTGCCAGAGATCACCTCTCAGCCAAACACTAGACCTACAGAGCGAATGGTAACACCCATGAGGAATGCGGGCCTCACAATAATTGTATAAGACCGAAGGGGCAGAAAATATGGACAAAGGTAAACAGGGACCACAGGGAGGGAATGAGACGGGTTCTGCAGCTTTCAGGAGATTTCAACTAAAGGAATACGTGTGTATTAGAAGCTGTAAGAAGTTCATGGAAAAGAAGATTACAAGACAACGGAAATCTCCATTAACTTTTTGAAGGTTTTTTTTAATCAACAAAAAGACCCCACTACCATCAAGTCAACTCTGACGTACAGTGAGCTTCCACACGGTTTCCTAGGCTGTGAATCTAATAGGAGCAGACAGCCTCCCCTCTCTCCCCATCGTCACATTCAGGTGTAAGCCATACAGCCCTTGACCTTCATCAGCAAGCGCTTCAGTTTGTCCTCATTATCAAGAAGCTGGGTGGTGTCATTTGCATGTTGCAGGTTATTAACAAGGATTAGCAATACTGGTTATTAACAAGGATTAGCAATACTGATGCTACCTCCTTCATGTAGTCTTGCCTCTCTCTCTCAGAATATTTGTTCAGTGTACACATTGAATAAGATGACGTGAGATAACCCTGTTCTAATTTTTAGCAGTAGCCCTTTGTCCTGTTTGAACAACTCTCTTTCAATACATGTGCATTTTTCTATATGAGTACGATACTAGAATTCCCATTCTTTATACTATCCATCGTTTCTCATGATACAATACTATCAATCCAGTGATTACAATCAAGAGCTTTTCCAAGGCTGTGAATTTGAATCTTTACAAACAGAGATTACCTCGTCTTTCTGCCTCAGAGCATTTGGTAGGTACAAACCACCACCCTTTTCGTTAACAGTCAAGCACTTAACCACAGTGCCAGCAGGGCTCCTATGCCATCGAGCACTATTAAATTGGGGCACACACTAGTGGATTCCTCATGAACCCTTGAAAGTAATCATGAGTGTGAAGACGATAACCATTTTGAAAAATTGTTCTCTTGCTGTGGAGTCCGCTTCGACTCGGCGAAGTCACGTGTGTGCCAAGCGAGTGCCGTTCCAGAGAGTTTTCAAGGCTCTGAACTTGAATGACCTTTCTTCTGAGATGCCGGCTGTACTCAGACTCCCAAAGTCTCCGTCCGCAGACCACTGTGGGGAGCCCTGGGATGCCGGAGTGGAGAGTTTTCAAGCTGTTTGATGCCTTACAGCAGGATGCTTTGGGAAGATTAATCAGGAGATGTTTTAAAGGTAGCTGAGCAAGGGAACTGCCCCGTACCAGAGAACAGCTGTCTAGAAATAAATATGAAAGAGCCTGGTAAGTAAAAGGAACAGTGGCAGGTGGGGGCAGGATGTGGGCAGGAAAGGAAAGGGATCGAGAAGTGGACAGAAAGAGCATTTTTATGTCTAAAATGTTTGTACAGATAATCTTACATCGCCAGAACCTTTCCTTAGTGCACTTGAGGGCTTGTCTGAGGTGCATCTTCAGTTCCTGCTGGAAAGGTCGTTTCCTCAGATGCCCCAGTAATGCTAACCATGGGCTTTTCTCTCCAGGGTTATGACAATTCAGAGAGCAGCGTTCGGAAAGCTTGCGTCTTCTGCCTCGTGGCTGTTCATGCGGTAATTGGTGACGAACTAAAACCTCATCTCAGTCAACTCACGGGCAGTAAAGTAAGTAATGTTACTTTCAACACTAGGCTTACAGGATGGGGCATTTTGACTCATTTTCATTTCTGATTTCTTCAGTGAAAATTACAGAAGCCATTTACATTTACTTCCTATGTATGCTTTTATCCATTTCGTGAGAGAAATATTTATCCAAATTCTTCATCTTCTACATCTCGAAATTCTATGTGGTATACCTATCTCTATGGATACAAATCAATTTGATGTGAATGTAAATTGAGTATTAATCCCAGTAAATTAATGTAGTCAAAAGGTTCCTAGTAAACATCAAATGTAAAGATAGACAATGCAGCGGAGATTCTCATACTGACTGACGAGATCCCCAGGATACGTCGAATCCAATCTCAATTGTTGTATAATGTTAAATATTGTATACTTTATATAGATACCTAGTTAACCGTTTTATTTATAAGTTAATAGTGTATTTTTAAAATAAAATTTGTTTAAAGAAAATGTGCGCTTTCGTACATGTGTCAATTTAACATGTGTCCGCAAAGGTATATAAGATAGAAGAAGCGTGCCTAAGTCTAGTGTTAAAACAGTGGCAGTGATAAAGTTCTTAAAAATGTAGTTCACTGTGTGTGCTGAAGGTTAATTTTATTAGTCACCTTTTGATTTTTAGTCCTGCTTTTGAGCATCTAATTTGCCCTTCTTTAGGCAAAAAATGCCTACAGCTTCTGGTAATTTATGGCCACTTGGCACCAACACATGTCTTTACTCCAAAGGACTATGTGATTTAATAATAAACTGTTGTGATTATACATTTGTTTCCACTAATAATAGACTTGATCTATGGGTTTTAATAACCATTTCAATAGCTAAATAGAACTCACAAACAAAATCATGATTAAATGGTTTATTAAGGAAGTGAACACGTAATGCCAGTGGGAAATGCTCAGGGTTGAGTTGTTTATCAGGACACGTTACAGAGTTCTTTCAGGGCTGCTCATACATGTACGCCAAGGGGCATATCACTGCTGTAAGCTGCAGACCAAAGGCCTCCAACTCCACCTCCGTGGGTCACCAAGCCCCACATCCCCAATGCAGTGTACAGAGGCACCCCGCTCCACAAGCCAGCCTCCTGCACAAAAACACTCGCTTTATTTGCTCTGGCTCCTGGTTCTGCTGCTGCTCCTTTTGATGTATAGCTGTCTTCTGGATCCAGGAGGTTCACTGTGCAAAGATCTTGGATCCGGAAGACGCACTCCACTGTTAATTGTTATTAGCAGGAAGCATCCTCTCCCTTTAAAGAGTTTTCTAGAATCTTAAAAATTGTCAAATAATAGGTGCAAATAATATTGCGTGGAAAAAAAGTAGAATACAGAATTTTATGTGTACCAATTGTATCCTCCTAAAATAAGATAATCCCATATGAGTAACCGCACTAAATCAGACTCCTGCCCGCTAGTCAGTTCCCACCCATAGTGGCCCTACAGAACAAGGTAGGACCATTCCTGTGGATTTCCGAGATTCTAACTCTTTATAGAAGTAGAAAGAATCATCTTGCTCCCATGAAGCAGCTGGTGGGTTTAGAATGAGCCCGAAGCTTAGCCATTACACCACCAGAAAAAGACACTGAGAGAAATCCAAAACCTTCTTAGGTTAGGACAGTAGTGGCTCAGTGGCCAAAGTACTGAGTCTCCAGGCCAGTGTACTTCTCGCCTCAAGTGCGACCTTACATGATGACTTCCCACTCTCTCCTCATCTGTAAGAGATGGTAAGAACGGGCAGGGAAGAAAGTGCCCACAGGTGCAGCTCACAGTCCTCCGCTGTATGTCATCGCTGTTTCAATGGTGTCTTGTTTTTATGTTGGCTTTCATGTTTCCTATGTTGTTGTTATCGATTTTTTTTTGAAGGAGCATGTCAATCATACCATATATACTCCAGTATACGCTAACCCAACAGCTGAGGCACCTAATTTTACCCCAAAAACTGCATTAAAAGTGTGCTGAAAAACTCGGCTTATACACGAGTGTATATGGTATATAAATTCTGAAATTTAAGAAACCTTTTTCATAACTGTTATCAACAATAATGTAACAATGACTTCCCAGTCTAATGTTTATCTTTCCAATTTTACTTGGATGTGTATACTCTTTTTAATAATCAGCCTCTCTTAAATGTGAGTAACTTGCAGCCTTCACAGTTTCCTCTTAAATGCCATATGTTTGGCTTGAATCTGCAGATGAAGCTACTGAACCTCTACATCAAACGTGCACAGACAGGTCCAGGAGGGGCCGATCCTACTGCTGACGTTCCTGGGCAAAGTTAGTGAAGCCGATTGACGTGGAACAGGCCTCTCACAGAAAGGACAGAAAGACCACCCTCATCAAGGAAAGGAAATTTCAGTACATCTTTTAGAACATACCATTGTTTCCCAGTTTCAGTTTTCTGTTTGTTTTGTATTTTCTGTAACAGAAGGCTCCCCTCGGTCTGCATGTAACTTTTATGATACCTTACCCCAAATTCAAGTTGCAGTATTAACACCAGTTGATCAATACAGAGGACTTTTTTAGTCTAATTCATCATCTTACACGTTGTACTTCTTTATTGTCCCATAATCTTTGCCAGTGTTATGATTGTACACTTTTTAAAGTGCTGGTTAAACAGGAATGCTTAAAGCTTTATAAGTTTAACAGTCTAAAAACATCTTCTCTTTTTTTGGCCTTTATTCAACTGCAAAATAATATTTTATTGCTACTTTGAGTTTTGTTACGTATCATGTCCTATGCTAGAAATCTTGAAATGATGTGAACACAAACCAGGACTAACCTGAACTACAGCTGGACTCTGTCGTGTGATGGTGAGACATGCCGTTAGTTGCAACTTCTTGGAGTAATCTGTAGCTCGTAAACGAAGACCTCAGAAAAGAAATGTAAAGCAGATACTGTGTATTGGTTCTTGATCTTGCCATTGTTATTTAAAATCATCGTCCTTCCATGATCCTTGAAGAAAGCTGCACCAAATCATCTGCCTGTGCTTTGTTTGTTTTTACCTTTGTTTCCTTGATACTTATCAAAATAGGGGGTTATGGCAGGGCTTTTTGGTTTGTTTATCTAGATTGTGAATGACGTTTTGTTTTTGTTTTTTATTTATTAATATCAAATTTACTTATGAATAAACTTGATAATGGAAACAGACAGGAAAAAAAATCAAGTGCATGTGTGTCCTTGACAGTCTTCTCTTTCTCATATAATCCACAAACCAATTATTAGACAGACATGAGAGTGAACCGACACCTTCTCTTAAATGGTGGAACCTGGTTTCCTTTTACCGTGATGTTGTCTTACTTGAAAACATTGATCCTGATGAGAGAGAAGATGGTGCCACGGCGATCTTTCTGTAACGGGCTCAAATTCTCTACCTCTTCAGGCCTAAGACTTTTGACTGAGCTGCTGCCTATTGTGTCTTCTGGGAAACTACTTAAAAGGGTGATTTGTCTGTTGTTCTTTTTTTTTTAAACAAATTTTAAAAATCACCCTTTACTACACCTGTTTTCTTCATGTGCAGCCACCTTTCAAAAAGCATGAATTTTGGTGAAAGGCAAATTGGATTGATTTGGAAGTAGGCTACTAATGATTTCTCATCTTGACTTTTCTCTTTTTAATCCTAACACAAAGTGAATTTAACTGGAAAGGCAAATAGCTACTAAGGAGGCAATTTGCTGTGGCAGAGCATCTATACTTTCTTTGTCTATTGAAAAAGAGTGTAGAAAATGTATGTAAAGAATCCAAGACAAGAGTACTGAATGGTAATTTGTCATTGGCTTTTACCTGCCTTTGTTTCTGTTCTAGCAGCAGGAAAATGGTCTCTCAGTATCCCCTCACCCCTTAACTGTTACAATTTTGTTTTCTACTGTTACATTGTGTATTTATAGTTCTATGCTTACTGTTGTGCATATACTGGCAATAAAACTGTACATAACATTACTTGAAAAATGGATAATGTATATCACCTGTTTTTCTGTCTCACAGTATAAAAAAATTCACTTTAATAACTAGGATTTTTTGTTGTTGTTTCTAACTTTGGAAGGTCTCATATTAATGGTGTTCTCTTAGGAATTTTATAAGTGCATCTAAGGAGAAAAGATTTATCAAGAGTGACAACAACAATCAAATGTATATAGCGATATAAGCCTGTATATATCATAGCTTATCTTAAATAAGAAAAAATTTTAAACATTGAACTCTCACTACCGTTTTATGCACCATGCCCTTTGGTATATTTTTTAATCTGTTAAAATCAAAATAATGGTTTAAAAATTAATTTTGGCCTCTGATTTAAGGACATGCTTTAACGACTGTTGACAACTAAGTAGAGTGACTTACGCTGAACAGTAATTTTTTAATCAGTGAAAAATTAGATCAAGCGCCGGGCATCTAAAGGTTGGTACTCACGAAATGAGTGTACTAAGTAACAGAAACGTCTGGCATAATGTGATGAAACTCAGTGAAACCCAATATATAAAAACCTGAGGGAGACTTCTTTAAAATGCTATCCTTTCAGTTGATGGGACCATAAGAAAGTTGTTATCATTACTCAAATCAATATATGCAACCGACCTTTCATTGTTCGTTTCAGAAACATACTTTAGATGTGAGCTATTAAAGAATAGTCGTTTAAAAAAAAACAAACTACTGTTTAAATTTTTTCCTTCCGCTTTTCTTCCCTAAACAGATTGTCAGTGTCATTCATTTACTATAGTACTCAAGATTAAGGTCATTAAAAGCATTTATGTTCGGGATTCTAAGACATGTTTGTTCCTTCTGGGCTGGCGACGTCTACAGCAGACCTCAAACATTTTAAAGTAAAGGATGGTGTGAACCTGAGGCTTCACATTTCACATTGATATGTTGTGCTTCCTCGTGTGTTATTTTTACAGACTTATGGTTAAGTTGGATTTCTTTCCCCTATCAAGTTATATCTCATAGTAAAATACTACCACCCCGCCATCAGATCAGATCAATTTGTAAATTCAAATGTATCCTTTGGTTGTTAATTTAGAGTAATATTTGCAGTAAATAGACATGAGAGTTAGTATAGTAACTCCTCAATATAAGGGTTTTTGTTATTCTCTGCTATCTTTGTTTCCTGCATTGATTTTAGTTCCCCCCCCCCTTTTTTTTAGTCTGTTTAACAGCTATGGGGAAGCTGAATTTTACAATTCGGTTGTTAAAAACAACTTTCAGTAAAGAATGTGTCCCATCTTTATTATAAACTTCAGTAAAATAGTGAGGAGCCCAAGTAGAACAACGAAATGATCACCACGTGGAGACCATGATGGTGCCGCGACGTGGAGGGTGGAGGGGCTCCCAGAAGAGTGGTGGGACTAGAATAACAGACCGCTTGTTTTTCCAGGCAGGTGTTTACGTTTCTAGTCATCCTTTGCCCTTCTTCAAAGGTGACTTCGGACGGCAGGCGAGTAATCCTCATCTATGCGCAGTATAATCTGGGATTGCTAACCTTCACTGAATATTATAACAAGCAGCTACGCCTTTGCCACATTTAATTATTTAATTGCAGACCATTTGAAATTGCTAAATATAGAAAATCCTGCGACTCCTGTTGTCGTAATCTAAAATAGAACAAGAAAATAAGATGCTTTTACTTAAGCCGCAGAATATCAGTATTTGAAGTTTACCTCATTCATCAATGCAGCAGACATGAATAGCTGCCTTCTATGAGACAGAGCATAGCAAATCACTACAAAGCAGTGGTTAGTGGTAAGATGGAAACACAGCATGCTATGATGGGAATTAAAGGTGGAGGTCGTCTTGGAAGGCTTCCTAGAGGAGGTGATGCTTCAATGTATGCCATATAGCCAGCCGGCCAGGCACCTAGGGGTGCTCGAGTTGAGACAACAAAGGGAAGCAAAGGCGGCAAAGCACAGCTGCTTACAATGGGAAGAAGGATCGGGGGATTTCCCTGACACCTGGTCAGCCACGGCTGCTTTTTGTAAGGGTCGGTGCCCCTGCTCCCTTAAACATGTCTGCAAACAAACAATGCACCCTCACCTCCAAGAAAATTCAGATATGACTCATTCTAGTTTGTATTTCGAAATGTGTCCTTAGTATACCAGCAAACAGACTATCCCTGTGTGCCTCTTCCGCTGACGATGTGGCTGAAATACAGGCTCCAGCAAAAGAAATGTCCCAAGATGGCGTAATAATCACTCTATGATGGCTGTTGCCAAAATAACTCTAGGATGTACATTCAAATGAATCCTTTGATTGTTCATTTGGAACTTAAGCAGAGGAAGAATGTGATTAGAATTAACATCACGAATACTTTAATCTTCCTTAATTGGTATTTTTAGACTATGAGGTTTTAGGACTTTTCGGTCTTCTAAATTAGTATTGATTTACCTGACACCCCTAAAACATGTGAGTTGCACATACATCATTGTGTATCAAGTAATGGGAGAAATGCACTAAGGTATCTTCAAACATAGGAGGTGTGATAGAGCAGCCAGCCTGTAAGAGTAGAAAAGTACCCACCGGTGCTGCTCTGTGCAAACCATCCTCACCAGCATGCCGGCTGCTGCCCAATCTCTGTTCCTTCAGGGTTCATCTCTGACTCTCATGGCGGTAACTTCCCCCTTAAGAAATGTATATGTTATTAAAAGTGGTTACAGAGAGAGTTGGTTGGTTTTAGTTAATCCAAATGTACAGCATGAATTTTAATCACTTCAGGTACAAGTAGAAACTAAGAATCTGGCTTAGGTTCCTACAATCAAACAAGCATGCTTTTCTTTTCCACTCTCTTAAAGCAGTGGTCCTCAGCAGAGGCTGGTTTTGATTCTCCTGGAGATAACTGTCACTCTCTGGCGGTGTTTTTAATGGTCCCCATGAGGACTGGCTTCTACGGGGTGAGAACCAAGGATATTGCGGAGCATCCTGTAATACCCCAGACCAGGGGCCCTCAAACTATGGCCCGCAGGCCACATGCGGCCTGCAGAGGACATTTATCCGGCCGGGTGTTTTTGCCCCATTTGTTCTTTTACTTCAAAATAAGGTATGTGCAGTGTGCATAGGAATTTGTTCGTAGTTTTTTTTTAAACTATTGTCCGGCCCTCTAATGGGTTTGAGGGACAGTGAACTGGCACCCTGTTTAAAAAGTTTGAGGACCCCTGCCCCAGAATGAACCAACCGACATGTTAGTTGTGTTGAGAACCTTGTCATAAGCAAACAGGTTGGTATTCGTATTTCTATCACCATGCCCAATGGAACAGACTGAGAGAGGTTAACTGATTTGGGTAAGAGGTTACCCAAAGTCCATGTAGCCTAGAAACTATGTAACCAGAATTTTAACTCCTGACTGTTTAAAAACACAGCCAGAAAACTTAATCCCTATACTCTGGTTATTGTACAGACAAAAATACACACATTACTCTTCAGTTGACTGAAACACAACAACATGTGGTAGGACTGAGTAGAACTGCCTCATGGGGTTCCGAATCTTTATGGAAGCAGACTGCCACATCTTTGTCCCACAGAGCAGCGGACAAGTTTGAACTATAAACCTTTTAGTTAGCAGTCAAGAACTGTAACCACTGTACCATCTGGGCTTCAGCTTAGGCTACATAAACTTTTTTTTTTTAATAGATCATTTTATTGGGGGCTTTTACAGGTCTTATAACAGTCCATACATCAATTGTATCAAGCCTCTGTACATATGTTGCCATCATCTTGTAAACGTTTACTTCCTATTTGAGCCCTTGGTATTAGCTCCTCTTCCTTCCCTCCCCCTTCTGACCTTCGTGACCCCTGGATAATTTATAAATTATTTTCATAATACCACTGTCTCCCCCCATGATTTCTGTTTGTCTCCCTGGGGTGGGGGCGGGGGTTATGTGTCAGTCATCCGTTCTCACTTCCTATCCCCACCTTCCCACTCCCTCCAGGTATCTCTACTTCCATTCCTGTTACTGGATTCTATGTGTCCTGAGCTCTTATCTCGTATCTGTACCTAGGTACATGCCCCGGTCTAGCCCGAAGTGAAAGGCAGGACAGGGGTCATGATAGTGGAGGGTGAGGAACCCTCAAGGTACCAGAGTGTCTTGTGTTTCATCGGTGCTATACTGCACCCAAGTGGACTTGTCCCTTCCTTGTGGCCCTTCTGTGAGGGGATGTCCCATTGTCTACAGATGGGTTTGGGGTCTCTGCTCTGACCCCCTTCTTTCTCAACAATGTGAGGGTTTTGTTTGGGGTCTTCTGTTACTGACCCTTTCGACACCTCATGATCGCACAGGCTGGTGTGCTTCTTCCATATGGGCTTGTTGCTTCTTAGCTAGATAGCCGCTTGTTTAACCAATCCTTTAAGACCCCAGACGCTATATCTTTTGATAGCCAGGCATCATCAGCTTTCTTCACCACATTTGCTTATGCACCCATTTGTCTTCAGTGATTGATTGTGCTGGGAGGGTAAGCACCACAGAATGCCAGGTTGTTAGAACAAAGTGTTCTTAACGTTGAGGCAGGGCTTGAGCAGAGGCCCAAAGTCCGTCTACTACCTCAGTGTATTGCCATATAAATATATGTACATAGACCAATACCTCTATTTTTATGATTTAATGTATTTGTATATGTGCACACCTATGTTTATACATCTATCCACAGCTTTGCATCCTACATCTTTCCTCTGTTTCCTTTTACCTTCCTCCTGCCCCACCATCACACTGGCCCTACTTCTACCTCTTAGTAATACTTCTCTGATAGATTGCTGTTGCTCCAACACCCCCAGGATCTCTATGTCTCCCTCGCAGTTTATTTTAATTCCCTACAACTCATATCACAATCCATACATACATCAATTGTGTAAAACACA